TAGAGATGGGGTCTCACTCTTGCTCAGGCTGGTCTTGAACTCCTGACCTTGAGTGATCCCCCCGTCTTGGCCTCCCGGAGTACTAGGATTACAGGCGTGAGCCACCATGCCTGGCCGAGCTTTATTATTTTTAAGTTATTTAACCTACCATTTTCTTGCATAAACCCTCACAAATGTTTTTCTGTCTTATATCAGAATGGAAAATGTGTCTTAAAACCAATGAGTCAGCCCTTCGGCAAGATATTTTTTGTTTAAAAACATCAAATGGGATACAACCGGTAAGATTAACAAAAGACATTTCTTATTTTCCACATTCAAAGTAGATTGGCATTGCACTGTAGAAATCCCCACAAATGACAGATACCTGAGAGAAGTGGCTGTCACCCAAGAGCCAAAAATGTCTCCAGAGAGATACCCCATACCTAGCATAAAGCTTCATACTTCAGAGTTCCCACAAACATAGATTTCACCATACATAACTAGACATTGAGTTTTTAAAATAATTTCATGAAAATCTGCAGGACTTCTTTCAAGATTACAGCATAGATTAGATGGCACAGGATTCTTGCAGTACGGTTCCTTTATTCAGATTGAAAGAAATCTAGAGGGAAGGAAATTGTAAGTGTGATATGAAAATGGCAAATCATAATCATCATCATGTTTCTGTGTTGGGTGGAATCAATTAATAAGTCTGAATAAATGCTTTATTCATCATTGATTCCTTAATTAACAGGCAAGAAGCCACAATGGAAGGGAACTCTATGACTGTAAAAAATGTGGAAACGTTTTCAGTGAACATTCATGCCTCAAGACACACAGGCGTACTCAAAATAGAGAGAACATTTCTGAATGTGATCAGTATGGAGAAGACCTCCTTTCTCTGCACAAGAAAACCTCTACTGGAGAGAAACTTTCTGTGTTTGATCAATGTGGAGAATCCTTCAGCCTGACTTTAAATGTTGAGTTCCAGAGAAAGTACACACAAGATAAATCCTTTGAATGCAGCGACTGTGGGAAAACTTTTGTTAATCAGTCACACCTTCAGGCACACAGGAGAACTCACAATAGAGAACAACCGTATGAATGGGAGCAATGTGGGAAAGCGTTTCCTGACTCCACAAGCCGTGCTGTGCATGTTGAAATGCACATTGTAAAAAATCCCTATGAATGTAAGGAATGTGGAAAAGGCTTTCGGTATCCCACCTATCTTGATAATCACATGCAAACCCACACTGGAATAAAACCTTATAAGTGTAAGGACTGTGGGAAAGCCTTCGCTGTGCGTTCAGGCCTTACTGAACATGTCCGAGCTCACAGTGGAGAGAAGCTCTATGAGTGTAAGGAATGTGGTAAAGCCTTCCATACGTCCTCAGGCCTTGTTGAACATACAAAGTGTCACCCGGGAGAGAAACCCTTTAAGTGTGACCAGTGTGGGAAAGCCTTTGTTTTTTCCTCATCTCTTTTTGCACATTTGAGAACTCACACTGGAGAGAAGTCTTTTGATTGTTACGTGTGTGGGAAACCATTTACCCGTTCCTACTGTCTTCGACTTCACGTGCGAACTCACACGGGAGAGAGACCATATAGATGCAAAGAGTGTGGGAAAACCTTCACTAAGTGCTCATACCTCACTAAACATTTACGAATACACACTGGAGAGAAATCCTATGAATGTCAGAAATGTGGGAAAGCCTTCATTGAGCGCTCATACCTTACTAGACATTTACGAACACACACTGGAGAGAAGCCCTATGAACGTAAGGACTGTAGGAAAGCCTTCACTGTTTCTTCAAGCCTAACTGATCATGTAAGAATTCACACTGGAGAGAAACCCTATAAATGTAATGAATGTGGAAAAGCCTATAATAGGTTTTGTCTACTAACTCAACATTTAAAAACCCACCCTACAGAGAAGACCTTTGAATGTAAGGCATGTGGCAAATCCTTTAGAAATTCCTCACATCTTGATGATCACTTCCGAATTCACACTGAAATAAAACCATATAAATGTAACGACTGTGGGAAAGCATTCACTTGGCGCTCAAGCCTCACTAAACATGTACGAACACATACTAGAGAGAATAGAGGGAAGCCTGTGAATGTTAGGAATGTGGGAAATTCTTTTGTACGTCTTCGGGACATATTCAGCATATGAGAATTCACACAGAAGAGAAACGCTTTGAGTGTGACCAATGTGGGAAAGCCTTTGCTTCATTTTCATCTCATATTGCACATTTGAGAACTCACATACGCAATATATGAGAAGCCATATGTATGTGAGGAATGTGGTAAAACCTTCACTGTTTCCTCAAGCCTAACTGAACATGTAAAAATTCATAGTGGAGAGTAACGCTATAAATGCAAGGAATGTGGGAAGGCCTCATTAACACTTGAAACTTTCTAGACATGTGCAAACTTAACACTGGAGAGAAACCCTATAAACATAAGGAATGCAGAAAAGCATTTACTGGTTCTTACCTTACTGAACATATAAAAACACTGGAGAGAAACCCTTTTTATGTAAAGAATGAAGAAAATCCTTTCAGAAGTCCATGTGCCTTAATAATTGCATTCTTATTTACACTGGGAAGAAAACTTACCAATGTAAACAATTTGTGGAAGTGTTCAGTTGTGCCTGTTCATTTGAAGGATATGAAAGAACTCACACTGAAGATATTCTGTGAAGTTAAGGCATGTAGGAGAACCATCGGAATCTGCTCACAGTCCAGTACGTGAGAATTCACTGTGAAGCTTTGCAGTGTTAGAATCATGGAAAGCGTTCCCTGTTTCCTTGGGTATTATAAAATATGTGACATCTCACATGGAGATAAACCCTACTGATACAAGATATGTGGAAAAATTGTAGTTCTGTTAAATACTTCTACGTTCACCTACAATCTCATAGTGGAGAAGAATTTCATGAAGGTAAGAAATGTTGGAAAGTCATATTTTACATTACATTGTTCTTCAACCTTTAGTACACATGAGGTGATTCACACTCAAACTGTGTACGTAAGGAATAGAAGGAATTGCCTGAAATCCAACAGAGACATGGCTTTGTGGGTGGTTCTATAGAACTATTGTGAAAATTTGTTACTGCCCGGCTCATTCCCGGCATGGTATGTCTTTATCTTGTAGCAGTGCCACTCTTGTCTAGTTACTATACCTTCTGGGTTACAACCTGACCAAAAGTCGGCCTTCAGGATTCAGACTAAACCTGTTTCAGCAGTGTAGATTCTCTTTGTGGTTTGTCATGGTCTTAGGACATGGTCCACCGTGTGACCCACACTGGCCGATGTGCGAGATACAGTAAAGCTCTAAATGTAAAAATGCTCTTGTTCCTCTTTCACACCTGATCTTTTCAGATAAGATGTCAAGTTTAAAGAAGGGGCTGAATGGAGAAAGAGTGAGGTAATAGGTAGTAGTCTGAGATACCGTGATTTTGTGACCGTGGAGGGATAGCCGTAACCCTTGCACCTGGGGAGGTAGGACTTACTGTAATACCAAGCTGTGCAGGGAGGTGGTGGGAACCATGAATGTTCATTCCTTTTGAAGGAATGTTCATTGCTACAGTTTAGCAAAGCAATCATTTAATATGTCTGAGTCAATTAATTGCTGTAATTGGCAATATGACCAGTTTCTGGGTTTTTCATTTCATCCTTGTGCAATGAAAACAAAAAAGTTCCTGTGGATGTGGCTGGTCATGATGTTCTGCTGTACTTGACACCATTACTGGCACTTCCTGAATGTGGCCCTTGGGTTCAACACACATATGAGCATGACCAGGTGGTCACGAGTGGTACAAATGTAAATATTTCTGATGCTCCAGCAATCTTGGTGTATGTCATGTATGGCCACTGAGGCTGCTGCTACTTGATGACTTTCTATAGTGCTTAATCCAACCAAAGCAATGATGATCCAATTAACTTTAAAAGTCCTGAATGGAAGAGATCTGTGCATCTTTGTGGTATATTTTTTCGTGGTGAGAAGTGGGTTGTGGAGTAGTTCTCTTATGGGTATGAATGCTGCTGTTTAGCTTATCTGCTGTCAGCTTTAACTGTTGTCAGTGAAACAAATAATCATCAGATTAGTCTTAACTGGCTGTGTGTGTTGTATCAGTTCATAGACTGTCTTTAGATGCCCGAAACTTGTTCACAGTTGCCCGAGTCAAGAACTTGTGGGTAATGGGTGAGGTCAGTACTACAGATTGGCCTCATCCTGGTGTTGGACTTGTAGTGATAGTATCATTAAGAAAAGATATTGTAGTCTCATAGCCCAGACACTGCCTGGCTTCAGAAACTGATTTCTTTTTCTTTTTTTTTTAATTTTGAAAGATTTAGGGGGTACAAGTGTTTTTTGTTACGTGGATGAATTGTACAGAAGTCGATTTCTGATTGTCAATATATAAAGTGCAGTTGATCTTTGTATATTGAATTTTACTAGAAGCCCTGTAAACATTCTTTAAAATTCTAGTTTTTCTGTATTATGTTTTCCACATACATAGTCATACCATCTGTAACTAATGACAGTTTGATTTTCATTCCTAACCTTAGATCATTTATGTCTTTTTCTTAGTTTTCTGCCTAAACAAGACTACCTGTAGAATAATGACTAGAATTACTAAAACAAGGATACTTTTGCTAATCCTAATGGCAGATGCTTTCCATCTTTACCCACAATGTGCCTCAGGAGTAGGCCAAAAGAAAAAAAATTATTAAATGCTTTCCCGTGATTCCTCTTAGATAGTTACATTGTCTCACTTGTGTCTCTTCTTTATTGGGTACTAATTGCCTCACAGGAGCCCAACCCTCATGATCTCACCTAACCCTAATAACCTCTAGAAGGCCTCATTTGCAAATACAGTTGCCTTGGGAATTATGGCTCCAAGATAGGAACTTTGCAGGGTGGGGATGGGATACACAATTTGGTCCCTGATATTCTAGTTTGTTAATTTCTATTCTTTACTTTTACCTCCATTGTAGTGTACTTTGAATTTATTTTATTCTTTTCCTATCTCTGAAACCAGATGCATACCTCATTTTCAGACTTTCTTTCCTATTATATAAGCATTTGAGAGTTAGAGTATCATGTTATTGCTATAGTTGACTCTCCAGCAAAGTTTGTTCATTACTATTTTTATTACTTTTCAATTATAAATACACTAATATCCACTACATTTTTACTTTTTTTCCATGCTTATTGAGGAATGAATGAAAACTAAAAATTGTATATATTAGGGTATACAATGTGATATGTGATATATGTATACACTGTGAAATGATTATCACAATCAAGCTAATATATCCGTTACTTCACGTTTTATGTTTTATTTTTGGTGTCATGAAAATGCTTTCTATTACCTTATTAAATTTCAAGTATGTGGTACATTATTATTAACTATAATCATCATGCTATACCTTAGGTCTCCAGTGTTTATTCATCTTATAACTGCAAGTTTGTACCCTTTGATTAATATATTCTGTTTTCTTCCAGTCCCCAATCTCTGTTAACCACTATTTTATTCTCTGCTTCTGTCAGTTCAACTTCTTTTTAGATTCCACATATAGGTGAGGCTATGCAATATTTGTCTTTCTGTCTGTGGCTTATTTTACTTAGAATAATGTCCTCTAGGTTCATCCATGTTATTGCAAATGGTAGGATTTCATTCTTTTTTAAGGCCAAATGTTCCATTTTGTATACATACACTGCATTTTGTTTATCCATTCATTTGTTGAGGGACACTTTGGTTGTTTGCATACCTTGGCTTTTATGAGTACTGCTACAATGAACATATAGGTGCAGATATCTCTTTGAAGTAGTGTTTCCATTTCCTTGGATATATATCCAGAAGTGGGTTTGCTGGATTGTATGGTAGTTCTATTTTAAATTTTATGAGGAACCTCTATGCAGTTTTCCGTAATAGCTGTACCAATTCATATTTCCACCAACAATGTGCAAGGGATTTGTTTTTACACATCTTTTGATGTTTTTTGATAAGAGCCATCCTGATGTGTGAAGTGTTATCTCATTGTGGTTTTTCATTTGCATATTGATAGTCTTTTCACATACCTTTGGCCATTTGTATGTCTCATTTGGAAAAGCATCTATTCAGGTTCTTTGCTCATTTCTAAATTGAGTTATTTCATTGCTATTGAGTCACAGTTCCTTACATATTTTGGATATTAACCAGTTCTCAGATATATGGTTTACAAATATTTTCACCCATTCCCTAGGATGCCATTTCATTGTAATTGTTTCCCTTTTTATGTAGAACCTTTTTAGTTTGATGTAGTCTCACTTGCCTGTGATCTTGGTGTCAACTCTAAAAATCATTGGCAAGACCAGCAGCATAAAGAACCTTTTCTTCTGTGTTTTCTTGTAGCAGCTTTATGGCTTCACAGCCTTAGGTTTAAGTCTTTAATCCAATTTGAATGGATGTTTGTATATGGTGAGTCTTTAGCGTCTTCTACATTTAAGATCGTCTCCTCTGCAAACAGAAATAATTTTACTTCCTTTTCCATTTGGATACCTTTTATTTCTTGCCTAATTGCTCTGGCTAGGACTTATAGTTTTATGCTGAATAGAATTGACATGCATGGGCACTTTTGTTCTTGACTTAAATAGATTTTTTATTTTTATTTTTTGAGACAGGGTCTTGCTTTGTTGCTAAGGATGGAGTGCAGTGGTGTGATCATAGCTACCTGTAACCTTGGATTCCTGGGCTCAAGTGATCCTGCCTCAGCCTCCAGAGTAGCTGGGAGTACAAGTACACACCATCATGCCTGGCTAATTTTTTAATTTTTTTAGAGATGGGGTCTTGCTATGTTGTCCAGACTGGTCTCAAACTCCTGGCCTCAAGCCATCCTCCTGCCTTGGCCTCCCAAAGTGCTGGGCTTACAGGCGTGAGCCACCATGCCCAGCTTGTGCTTATTCTTAAAGGAAAAGCTTTGAGTTTCTCACTGCTGAGTATGATGATAGCTGTGGCTTGTCCTATATGGCTATTATGTTGAGATACATTTCTTGTATACCTAATTTATTTGGGAGTTGATATCATGAAATGATGAATTTCATTGAATGCTTTTTCCTGCAGTTATTGCAATGATAATGATTTTTTTCTTTCATTTTGTTATTGTGGTATATCACGTTTATTGATTTGTGTTTGTTGAACCATCCTTGCCAAATAGGAATAACTCCCACTTGATCATGGTGTGTGATTCTTTCAACAATTACTTTAAATGTGATTGGATTAAATTCGCCCATCA